ACTCTTCCTCTTCTGTTTGCTCCCCTGCCTTTGCACTTGTATTCTCCGAACACCACCGTACTGCAAACGCTCAAAAATAAAATAAAATAAAAAATAAAATAATAATAATAATAATAAAAAAAGGAAAATTAATTATGTACCTGTCCCTAGATGGGACTCCCCAGTCACTCCACCCCTCGGGAAATACATCCAAATCGAACTGGCTATAAGCAAATATGACGCGCGAATAGTCTCCCCAGGCCCGGCCCAAGTAGATAGGCCCATTTCCAGTCACCGTGCAGTTCAAGAACGAGTAGCCCGTATTTTCGAACGCCGAGCCTCTGCTCTGGGCCGTTATCGTGTACGGACTCCCCACCACAGATATGGTGCATCCCTGTATCAAACTTGATAATAAGTCCCTAATAATTTACAAATTTAAATTAGGGTGAAGATAGTACTGGACCACCTGGAAGAGTGATCTTGCAAAGCCGAATATGAAGTCCACTGAGCCCTGCACAAGACACTCGAGAAAAAAGTGGGCCCCATATTCATCCAGAAGCGTGTCTTGCGAGCCCAGGAATCGGGTTTTGTAAAACACGCTTTTATCCCCAGCAACTCTCACGGCCACCGCTTGGCATCCTTCGCTGGCCGTACACACTACTGAATTCTGCAAAGACCAAAATAATGATTCTAAGGCTAAATTGCATTTTTAGTCGTGTTGGTTTAACACGATAACATTTTTGGTTTTAAGATTCTATTATGTATTAATATTTTTTTAGCAATTTAAGTCTTATAATTAAAATTTTGTTACAATTTTAATCACGTTGTTTAAAATTTTATTGCAATTTCAATATTCAAAAGACTGAAATTGCAGTAAAATATTAAATTTTAGGACCAAAAGTCAAAAAGTTGGAATATTGGGACTAAAATTGCTATAGTATTAAACCAACAGGCTAAAAAAATTTTTCGCAATGATTAAATTTAGAAAAAACTAATAGTTATAATAATTATTGTTGATATTTTTGTTAATTACCTCGAAAGTGACACTTGAGGCGCAAAAATAGTCGGATTCGACATTCACGGTGGCCGTGTTTTCAGTCCCCAACATATTTCCACTGTTGCCCCTGTCTGAAGCTTTGTCGTGCCATGTTATAACTGTTTCGGAGCTTTTATCTTCGTTTCCGATGAACGAGATCAACGGTTTAGATGCCGGAATATGAACCTTTTCGCTGAAAAAGCATGTGTTGCCCAAAAAAACAAAAAAAAAAAAACATTTATTACACAAATCGCAATTGATAGGCATGGCAATATATTTTAAGGATGAAGATTTATTAATTGGTTAATTATTAACAAATAAAGTCAAACCTGTAAACTCCGGGGAGAATGTGGATTTTCACTCTCCTAGGGTTATTCTCCGGCACCAAGTCAACGGCGCCTTGCACGGTCAACGAATCTCCGCCGCCGTTTTTGTTGACCACGACGATTCTTGTTTGACTTCCACCATTGTTTGAACTCAACGTCAAATCATCCCATGTTATGTGATATTCGCCGTTATCACCTTTCACAACCCAAACTTCATTATTTTCAACTGATATCACTAGCAGAATAACAATAACGAATAAGCCCAAAAATTTCATCATTGCCTTCATGGAAATAATGGAAAGTAATTTGAAAATGATGCTGATCAGTTTGATAGTTGTGTGTCTATATATTATATATGATTGAGTATATAGCTGCATTTGGTAACCTGAATCACTCATGGATATGCATGTTAAATTTATCTTATAAAGTAAAGGTATGGGCGCGAAATTAGCATCTTATAATGTGCTGTTTTCCTATTTATTCACTGATTCTTTTTTGTAATCTATATGATAAGAAAGGTATGATTGGAACAAGAATCTCAATGTGAAAAATCAGTCATTGTAATAAATTACGCTAATTAATTATGGAGCAAATAAATTTATGTGTTTGAGAGAACTTATAAGCTATTTAAAACATTTTTTAAGATGTTTAAAACCTTCAAAAATTCTATGGAACCATCGGATTGTTTTCTTATGGAGCCATCCACCACTTAATGTATTGACACCTGTCCAAAGTGTATTTATTGCAGGAAACGTGTCAATACACTATTGGTAAATAAGTATAGATGGTTCCATAAGCCGAGCCATCCGATGGTTCCATAGCAAAACTGTTAAAAAACCTTATAATGACCTATGCGTCTGAGAACTTATAATAAGCTCTTTTAAACTTCTTTTAAGATGGTTTATAAGCTTAGTCAGTAGTATGATTTCAAATTTTCAATTTTGCACACAATATAAGTAGCCCAACAATCGTGTATATGTATATATATAGGGTCGCGCTCCCATGAGAATGGTGCTTAGTGAAAGAAATAAGAATAAATCATAGCCATTAGATCGGATGATCTAATGGCTAAAAAAATTCAAAATTATAACCTCATTAAGGGTAATGTGGTATTTTTATAAACCCAAACAGTGGGCCCATCTGCCACCTCACACCTCTCTCTCTCTTATTTTCACTCTCTCTCACATACACACGCCACACACACCAACACACACGCACACACGTACACACGTTTTCTGCACACAACAACACACACTCTGACACGCATCAATCACCCACACACATATACTCACACACACACACTCATTGCACAGACACACACAAAAACATACAGTGAGCCGCCCAGTCAACGCTCTACCACCCGCCAGCGGCCGTCGTCCAGTTCCGGCGGCCGAATCCATTTCCGTCGATCGTCGTTCACCTAAACACACAATGAGCACACCACCGGTTCCCTCCGCGACTTCCGAATCTGTTGTCGTTTTTTCGGCAGACAAACTGCCGCGGCTGAGAGCACGACTCCACGACTCCCGTCGGCACCGTCCGACTGTTCACAGACCGCCGCCGATTTCTTGTCGCCCGTCGGCCATGGTATCGCGTCCGAAAACGCTTATTTCCGCCGCCTCTGCGAAGCTCCGCCGTGGTATCGCATCCACAGTGCCGACGGAGTTCCACCTTGCCGGAGTTGGACCTTGCCCAACCGCCTAGATATCATGCCAATTTTCGGAGGCCGAGATGGCCCCTTTCTCCGTTGTGCCGCGTCGTTGACGTCGCCGGAATTCCCGCCGCCCTCCGCCCTGCCGGACTGAAGACCAGAAGTGAACTTTAATATCTGGGCAATTTTTTGAGAATTTGATACTTTTTGAGGACTTGGTTGTATTTCGATAATTTGAAGAAGTTTGATTAATATATTTCAATTTAAGACATAGGTCAAATCTGCAATTTATAAAAATATTTAAAAACTATTATTCTTTATATATTTTTTTATACATATATATTAGATTCTTTAAATCAGTAAATAATATAAAAAAAGTTAGTAAATAATATAAAAAAAAAATTATAAAAAAATATTATGTCTATACATTTTTTAATACATATATGTTAAATAATAAATAAAAAATAGTAAATAAAATGATAGAATATTAAATTAATGTTAATAATAATAAAAATATAAAATGCACAATATTGTCCGATCAAATGCACAATAGTTTAAATACGCACATCACAAAGCTATAAATAATAATAATAACATAACAGACAAAGTTATATGTATATTAATTTTTTTTAATATCAATAATATATAATATTAAATAAAAATTACAAATACTATATATATTTTTATTATATAAATATTTGATAAATGCATAGTAATGTTAATAAAATAGCATCATTTAATTTTTTTCAAAATTGAAATGCACATAAAAAGAAAAATACACGCTAAATATATTGCACAATAATGTTATACGAGATGCACGTCTATGTATGTGTGCTTGCACTTTATTGAGTTTGGTTCTTGCACTTTATCGAGATCAATATTTCGTACTATATATATATATATATATATATATATATTTATTATATAAATATTTGATAAATGCATAGTAATGTTAATGAAAATACACATCATTTAATTTGTTTCAAAATACACTCTAGATATATTGCACAATAATGTTATACTATGCGCATCTATGTATGTGTGCTTGCACTTTATCGAGTTTGGTACTTGCACTTTATCGAGATCAATATTTCGTACATTATATTTTTCAATCAAAAATAATATAAAAATAATAAGTAGAAATACTAACATACTAAATATATTTTTAATGTAAATAATAAATTATTTCAATTATTTAAGATAATTTAATTGGCCGACCTAATAACCCAAATATTTAATTTTCGTTTCAATTTAATTTGGGACAAAAATTCATTCGTATCAATATGCACAATATCGACCGACACCGTGCACTTTTGGGTTGGAAAATTTGCACATTAATATCTTCTAGTTTGCACATTATAATTTGTTTATATAGACTATTACATTTCTTAATAAGAAAATAATATAAATTATTAAATCAAAAAAATTTACCACACTAAATATGTTTTTATATTATAAATAATATTTTTTCTATTATTCCGGTTTTGACATTCTATCGGTCGATTAAACCAAACCGACCGATAATCCGGCCAATTATAACTATGTAATTTTGTAAAAATTTAACAATTTTTACAATGTGCTCATATATTTACAATAGTGTGCATATCGTGTATTGTAAATGTGTAATATATTGAACTTTTGATAAATTACTAAATAGTGCCACTATTAAAATACAATCTAATAAAAGTTTTAAAATTGCACAAAAGCCCTATAAATAGTCTAATTCTCATCACAATGCCCAAAAAAAGAAAAAGAAAACAGAAAAAATTCTGAAAATCGCACACGCACGCACACACTAATACACACACACACACACATAGTTGCTGCAGCCGGCAACCAGACGCCCGCCGCCGCCAGCCCATCGCCCGGCCGTCTTATCCGTCCAGATCCGCCGCCAACGTGACACCACGACCTGGAAGCAAGTCTCGGTGACCGGAAAGAAGCTGCAGCCGTTAATGTCGGACCTCCCCCGCCGTTGACCACTCCATCACACGACCGTCCTGTTCGCTCAGAGTCGCCGCTGCCGTGAAGTCACGGACTGAAAATAGATCCCCGTCGCTGGCGATGAGCTGCTATCGTGAACGTTGGACTCGTGGTGGCGCTCAACAGAATAATGGCCGCACCGGACCGCGGTTGTCTGGCCAACATAGGCGGCCTGAACGCCGGGACCGTCGCGGTGTTCGACGGCACGGTGGCCGCGGCGGACGGCAGCGTCGAAGGGTGGTAATGCGGCGGCGGTTTGCTGTGTGGAGGAGCTTAAGACGCCTGGTTCAGGCGGGTCTCTCAGCGGCGGCCACCGTGTGTGTGTCTATGTGCGTGTATGTGTGTGTGTGTGTGTGTGTGTCTCTGCAAATCGTGTGTGAGAAGAGGGAGATGGTGATGATTAATGAGAGAGAAAATGAATATTTAAATGATGAGTGGGTCCCATATAAATATATGTGTATTGACCAACTTACCCTTAATTATTGGTCAAATGCACATATTTGACCCACTTTGATCAAATAATTACGACATTGTCATTAATGATTGACCATGTGTTGACTTCATCTTAACCATTAATATGATTGATCCCATGGTCCAGATCCGTTCTTATTTCTTTCACTATCTACAATTCTCATATGATCCTAACTCTCTCTCTCTCTCTCTCTCTCTCTCTCTCTTTATATAAATATATAGGGGTTTGTTCAAATAAAAACTAGTCTTGGTGTGAGGACCATATTTGGTGCTATTTTTAATTGTGTATGATGCTATTTTTAATATCACATGGTGCTATCATTTTCACAAAATGTTAATATAAATTGTGTTGCTATTTTTAATAAAATACATTCATGTTAAAAAGAGCACTAAAATACAATCAATCATAGCACTACATACAATTAAAAATAGTGGTTCTCACGGTTCTCACGCCAAGACTTGGTTCTCATTTGAACCACATCCTATATATATATATATATATATATATATATATATATATATATATATGNCATATCAAATTATATATAAAAAAAAAAGAATTGTAGGAAACAAGAGACATTTATTTGGGTCATATCAAAAGAGATATAATAATTTGACTTTTGATACTGTCCACATCATAGTTTTATCTGGGTTGGGTGACTATTGCATCATATTTGATCAATTCGTCAAATGTCAAATTATTGTATCTCTTTTGATATTATTGCAATCAATATAAAGATTAATATACAAGTTAAATACTTCATAGTTGTGTCGTTTATTTTTATTAATGATAAAATTTATAAAATGTGATATGTTCATTATCTACTTTATAATTTTAAATATTACCTAGACACACATATAACATATAAAGTCTTATTTACATATGTGCATGTACACAAGATTGAATACTTGTAATTTTTATTTTGTGGTGTTAAAAAAGAAAAGAAAAAAAAACACTAATACGGGGGAGCCTGTTTAGTTTACATACAATGGAGCTCGCATTCACTAATAAAGTCGCATTTCGTTGGTTGCTTTTAATCTATCTGTAATACGTTAATACGGCATCGTGTTATTTGACTTTGAATTGGATTTTCATTTCCCAAGTACAAAAATACCACTCATGCGTATGTGATTTTTGGATTTTGGTGATAAATAAAAACACTGAAATTAGATTCTCTCCATTCTTCATGGTATTCAAAGCCAATAATGATCCTTTGAGAATATCACATTAATCTTCATCAACCAGAATCACGTTATTGTAATTAGAGCCAATAATGATCCTTTGAGAATATCATACCAGAATCACAATATTCCTTGGCCGGTATTAAATGCTAGTGGAGAAAATGGATGGGAAAATCGAAAAGAAGATTTGCTGTTTTTCCATGAATCGAATCATTCTTCGATGCTAGTTATAACATCCGTTGAATGAATATAATTATCTATAGCATGGAAAAGGTCAATGATGAATGTGCTTGGAGCAAAGACAAAGCTAGAATTCATAAAAAAATAAGTTGAACCACCGAATGAAAGAGATTTGATTCTGACAAATGAAAAGGGGTAGACCGGATTGTAATTGATGCTTTCATTTATGTTGAATCCTCGAAAGAATTACGGAAAAAATATGTCAGATATTTGGGGAAAGGAATGGACCTCTGATTCATTAGCTGCAGTACGATATTTCACATCTTAAATAAGGAAATGATTCAGTGATGATATATTTTACAAAACTAAAATAAAATAAAAAAAGATGTGGAAAAAGTATATTTTTTTGATGCCTCATTTAGCATGTAACTGAGAAATAAGAAATGACGGATCAAAATATGCAAAGTCGATTAATGCAATGTCTGATGGGACTGGATAATAATTATGACCATGTTTACAATCATATGTCACTAATGGATCCATTACCTACATTTAACAAGACATATCCAATGTTTTGTTTGTTGAGAGACGGAGATTTGCTCAATTCACATATTAACATGACAATGGTAGTCAAGTATAGTGATTTTGGAAGAGGATTGTATGTTAAATCTCAAAGAGTGATGTATGGAATATGAAGAGGGAGAGAAGAACCCAGGCTTTAAAAAAATCTATATTGATTTGTTAGAATTTTGGATAGAATGAACAAGAGAAGTCTTATTACATGCTTATCTAAACTTGTTCAAAGAATTGGATATATGAATGACGATTTTGCTATGGAGCCATCGGATGACTCAGCTTATGGAATCATCCACAGCTATTCACAAGTGGTGTATATTTGATAAGTGTCCTACAATAAATACACATTAGACATGTGTCAACACATCATGTTATAGATGGCTCCATAAGGGAATCATCTGATGACTCCATAGAATTTCTGATATGAATGAAGGAATTTAGCAAATATGGTGGACGGGGATGAAGTATAGACACAACAAGTACGTAGTTGGACATGCATCAATGAGTGATTGTTAGTTATAGCACAAGAAGTGGAGCAAATACACTTAGACAATGCCTATAGAAGAACAAGAAGAACAATATATATGTAGATTTTGCAGGCAATGGGAAGATATGAGAATGTAATGTATTATTTTCTTTCAATGTTTGAAGATGTCAATCAAGAAGCATGGGTCATAGACACGGGCTCTAGTAAGAATGTCTGTATTAATAAGGAGATAATGAGTAATATGATCAATATTGGAAGTCTTGTCATAGTACACTTACCAGATGGTAGTACCAAGTTAGTTTCAATGAATAAGGAAAGTGAAGTTGTCCAAAAACATAAACTTATATGGGGTATTATATATGCCATCCTTTAAATACAATTCATTGTAAGCAACAAAAGTATATATAATGTCTACATTGATGTCTACCTTTCCAACATATAAAGCGTACGAGTGGGAAGGATAAATGAGAATTCAATCTCAGAACATGATAAAACACCCCCAATATCTTATTCAATCATCAACTGAGTAAAATAAACTAGAGAGAGACCTTTTTATATAAGACCCTTAATCCCTAAACCTAATTTGTTCACCAAGACTAAGTAAAATAATAAATAAATGCTAAATGCTGAAAATTATAAGAATAATAGATATTACCAAATATTTTTGTAATAATAAATATTTTGATACTCCTTCTGCACCATTCTCCTGTGATTGAGAAGGATTCGCCTCGAATCCTATGCGATCTCGCTACTGGCGGTTGTCGCACCCATGGCACGGATCGCTCGAAAGTTCCCCCTATTGATCAAAAAGGTTGAATTAATGTCGCCCAACTATGCGAGCATGCCCAAGAATTTGTGGGACCACCTCACACAGTAGCACATCAGCGGACATTCAATGACAGATATGGGAGAAAAATCTCTAATGAAAAGAATAGCACCCTTGGGATGCCAGAAAACCAAACCCCCACTAGCTTCATCCTGTATAGAAAAAAGATCAAGATCATGACCAATTCGACGTTGGTCCCGCCTTTTGGCCTCCTCCTCGAAGTGGATATAAGCTTTAAGTTTTTCCGCACTCTCCCATGCGGTACCATATATTCCTTGCAGCATTGGCTTATGTGAGTCTCCTCTCCAGTAAGTCCCAAAAACTGACCCAAGCTAAACAACTCGTCTATTGATATGGCCAGCAGATTCAACATGAGGCCCAACATAAAGAACCAACCATTCAGTACCTATGTGATAGACGGTGACAGGCTCCTCTGTAATGCCCTCTAAAATTTCCATCTTCTAGGGCTCACTCACAGCCATGATCCTTTTCTGGGCTTCTTCTCGGATGAAAAGGAAAATTCTTACCAATAATTCGATCCATTCCTTTCTCAATTTTCATAATGCCCATATCAGTCAGAGGCTCCAAGAGAAATTCCTCTGGCCCCGGAGGCTCATAATCGATGTAGCTGCCGGTTACTTATCTTTAGAAAACTTTAAGTTTTCAAAAAAAAAAATTCTTTTTTAAAAAATATTTAATATTAATACACTTTTAAGGCACTAATGAAAATCTCTTTCTTTTTCTAAACTTCCTGAAACTGTTTTTCTTTCTTTTTAAATCTTAAGCCGCTCACTTAAGTTCTTATAGGAACTCTCTTCCGAAACTTCTATTATTACTTATTAACTGATCTGACATCCTAATACATACAATATAATTTAATTTCTCAAAACATCATAACATAGTCTCAACTCTCAAGCATAATCTGAAAAACATTGAGTCTGAATAATCTTAGCGGAAGCATAAACTGAATAAAATAAAATGATCATCCTCGCCATTTGTGTCCATCGCCAATTGCTCAACTTGACAGGTGGGAAAATGTGGAGGGTGAGAAAAACACTAGCTCATTGTGGAGAAACATACAATGTGATTATTCAATATAATAATAGATGTCATAATATAATGATGAACATGAATAAACTTTCCTCCTACTGTCTCAACTGTACTCTCATCGCGTACATTGGATACTGCACACCCGCATAACGAGAGTCTATCTCATGTGTACACACTTTTACTGTCAGGTACATGAAATACTGCCCACCCGCACAACGGGAGATCTAACTGATGCCCCTCTCAGGCATTGCCCGGCTTAGGCAAAATACTCACATACATACCTCAATCATAATATCATGCGATTATAAGGAATAAGAAGTAGCACAGAATCCCCAGCTCCAAGGCGGACGAATGAAATGTTGAATGCTCAACTTTCTGCACGTAATCAAGATTGTCACCATGCTCTTCGCCGTCGCTAATGAACAGCGCGTGGGAGCCGCCCGACCGAGGGCACAAGGCCTGCCGATGGCCCAACTCCCCGCACAAAAAGCATCGCAGCCCGCCGCCTGATCTGTTGCCTGCGGACGGGCCTGCAGTTACTGGTGGTGTGCTAGAACAGGACGCTGTTGGACGACCAGGTGCTGGGGCCACTGGTGCGGCTTAACCAAAGTGCGTTGTCGGGAGAAAAGACGTAGCGTCCCGGCATGCGAGTTGCTGCTCCACCAAAGTGGCGCGCTGATGCACGTCAGAGATCGAGACGGGTACAAATAAACTTAGCGGTTTTTGAATCGCCAACCACAAACTACCAATATACCATGATGATACGAATAGCACGTGAGACCCTTTGGATATATTGATCCAAGAACCAAACGTATATTTAGACAGCAGAATCCCAAATCGGAGATCTAGTTTGATCGTACCTAGAGCTTGAAAACCTCGACCCGTTAGCTATATAATCAGCTAAGAACCTCGGTATGGTGAACGCCAAAAGATCTTGCTCAAGTATCTTGATAAGTTCTTAAAACAATCGAAACTCTACATAAGAGAATTCAATCTCAAAAAAGTGATTTTTAATATTCAGCAATATTCATATATCTCGTCAAAACACAAAATGGCCTTTTTAAAGGCTACAAAAGATGTTGATGCGTTAATCCCGTTTTTGAAACTCATGATGCACTAACTACACACTTTAGACCACATAAATAAGCTCACATGACTTTTGAATGACCTTTTGACTTCTAAGACAACTAAAGAGACATTTTGATCTCACAAATGCTGAAAGTGGACAAAATAGTGGACACTTCAATTGAGCTTCATGACATGGACGTAATTTAGTCTTCAATCCATGAATCAGTCTTTATGCGAACAATCTGGCCCATCAACTTGAAGAATATTCATCAATTTGCCTTCAATCGGGGTTCGGTCTGTCTTCCTTTGAAATTCAGCAATAAGAACACTCAAGGCTTCCTTAATTTTCTTAGCCCTTACCTTCGTGATCAGTCCCTGTTTATTTTCAACGAATCTTCTTTACTTTGAACGGATACCTTCGGATGGTCCCCATCACGGGAGATGAGTTAATCCATTGTCTCACGCATGTCGACACATTCGAGTATCTGATAAAACTCTTCGGTATAGTCGTTGACCGACCAAGTGCATTGCCGAAGATTTTGCAATTTCTGATAAAAGGGTACGCACATAATTGAAAGGTAAAACCTCACGCTCGATGTGCTTTTTAAATTTTTCCCACTCTGTTACCTTCGGCTTTCTTTGTTGACGCCGCGCGGCCTGATGCTGCTGCCACCACGAGGTGGCCCGTCCACATAACTGCGTTGTCACTAAGGCAACGCATCGGTTGCCCGACACGTCTTTGTAGTAGAGGACGGTCTCGACCGTAGCCATCCAATCTAAGAACTTTGACTCGTCCAAGTCACCAGTGAACTCCAAAATGTTGACGCGAAAAGACGACTCCCACTGACGATCGTCGGCTAGATAATCATCATCCTGAGTCTGATGACTGAAAGGGTTGATTTTGGAGAATGTGTCTTCATTTCCACCATTGTCATACCACGAGTGAGGCGAAAGGGAGAAAGGCGTCCCGCATGCGCCATGGCCGCAACCCCCAGCATCCCACTGCGCCCGTTGCCGTGGGCTAGGTTCGACCTATCACCATAAAAGAAGGTATTGAAGGCCAGCCGCATGTCCTTGATCCCCGTGATCAGATATGCAATCTGACGGCCCACCACATCGAATTGCGGTTAAATCCGTGAGTTGTCGCCCCAAACCGTCGATGGCGGCGTCACATCATTCATTTGCAGTATCGTTCCTCTTAGGCGACATCGTGAATTGTTCTGGTCTCTGGATACCAAATGACGTAGGGAAAGCGTGCGGAAGGAAAAACAAGAGATAAAACTTTTAAGAAAATAATCTTATTTCATAAACTTGACCTCTTCTCCACAATGAAGAAGAAGCTAAAAACTAGAATCCCACAAAGCCCTAATTAATTAACTTACCTAACAAGAAAAGGAGTAGGCTAAATAGATAAATATCAACCTACCAAACTAAATTATGAAAGTAATAACAATGATAAGATTAAATGAAAACCAAATAATTATATTAAGAACGCCAGATGATCATGCTTCTCTAAGAAGGCAAGCACAATCATGTCTCCGTCAGATATCCTGGTCGGTTTTGGCCTCGCTCGGCCGACGAGGGAGTCGCGTCGAAGGCGGAGGATCTGGCTTGGAAGATTTCTAGGGTTTCATGGTAGCAAAACAGTTTTTGAGGTGCGGAAGGAAATCTTGAGCAGTGGAGGTAGCGTGGGGTCGAGGATGACTTTGGAGGATTTCTTGAACAAAGTGGGGGCGGAGAACTAGAAGGACGTTAGGGTTTCGGCGCCGAGAGCCTTCAGGATGGCGGCGGTGATGATGAATACTGCCGCGCTGATGATTCAAATTGCGGCGCCTCCTGAGATGTGCGTGCAGAACGAGTTCGGTGTGGAGATCGAGAACGAGATGACGGCGGTCGGCGAGAGCGGAAGGGGGAAGAGGAGGGTGGCCTTCCTTGATTGGGGGTTTAAGAACAGGGAATCTGTCGATGGTGAATCTGGGTTGGGAGTTTATTATATTTTAAGATTTTAATTTCTATTTTATAGTTATTAATAGTATATGATCGAAATATGAACAATTGTTTTTTAGTCATATAACGAAATTTGATAATATAAACATGTTATAAATTACAAATAAAATAAATAAAAATTAAAAAAAAACTTAGTAAATATACAATAAAACTGCATCTATTGTGTATATGTTCAATATTTTTAAAAATATTAATATTTTCGCAAAATGTTTCGAAAAATATAATATATATATATATATATATATATAATTTATCCTAAACTAGTATATAGAAAGAAGGCTGCTAAGGCCAACAGCTTACATGGGCCTCCATCGAAAAGCCCATTCCGTTTTTATTTGGGCAGTTTAAATGGATTTTGCAGCCCATAAATCTGCCACGGAGAAAATACAAAATAATTTTTTTTATCCAAGAAAAATGAAATAAGGAAAAACAAAAAAAAAAAAAATCACTAACTTTCGGATAAAGCTACGGTACGCACACCAGCGTCGCTCCCCTCAAAGCCATCCCCAATATTCCTGTAAGCGTAAAGCCAGAAGAACTGTAGGCGAAAATGGCGGCCATGGCTACGTCCTTACTCTCTGCAGTATTATTGGCAGCATCCAATTCGTCCAGTTTGTCTTCCAGGCCGCAGCTTTCTTTTCCTTCATCGGCTCCCTCAAAGCTGCTGTCGGTGAGGCCCTCGAGACTAACTTCTTCGAGAAGTTTGGCTGTTCCTGAAGTGTTGGAGTCCAGTGTGGGCTCTGCTACGAACGAGGTTAGTTGTAATTTACTTTTTATTTTCACTGCAGTTGAAATTTTTAATTCTGCTCAAGATAGTTTCTTTTTCGTTTTCAATTATTGTTTTTTCAAGTTTTCGTGAAATTGGGTCTTGTTTGTGTTTATAGGATGATGCTACTACGGCAGAGATCAGTGTGGGTGAAACTTCGGACATGGTATATTCATTCTTTTGGCTCTTACAAATGGATTTTTCCATTTCTTTTTGTGGTTGCTTTAGAGCTGAAAATTGGAATTGGGAAATTTTGTTAGCTTATTAGTTGTTGTTACAGGATCAAATTGACTTAGCTGGCTGCTACATTCCCTGATGGGAAAATTAATGTTTTGTCTGTGTAGGTGGGCTGTAACAATTTGATCTGCATAATGGTAATAGCATTAAGCACAGGGTCGAATGATTTTAGATCTTCATTTGTTGGAAATAACCTAATTTTAGTTGCACAACTTGTGGTTTTCTTTTTGTGTCTTACATAATAGATTTGATTAGGTACTGGTGTTAGTGTTACACAGTAAGGGTTGTATGATTTGCGATCTTTTATGCACCACAATGATGAAACAGTTGTTCTATATCTCTTTCTTTCATTTCACTTTTTCATTTTCCAGTTGTATTACATTTTATCTTCACATGGATTGTCTGCGTAAGTTTCCTCAAGGTAGAAATCAACACAAGAGAGCTAGTTGATGTGGTCGAAGAAATTTTAGTGGTGGTGATAAAAAAATGTGATTGAGGATGAACCCTTAGTGAATATGCTGAATCTGAAATAAAAATTCCCAGTAATGGTGAATAGTACTTATGCTTAACCAATTCGGCAGAATGAGATATTGGATTTAGATTTAAAGGCATTATTCTATTAGAGAAGTGATCATCAAATTGCTTTGGGTCTTTAGGGTTGTCTAGTTAAATACTAAGTTAACTCGTGCTTAATCGCTGTTGTTTTGTTGGACAACTGATTAGTGTAAAAGAAAAAAAAATAAAAAAATCAATGGCTTGTATGATATGCTAATTGTTTTATTAATGCCTTTTTTTTATTTAAAAAAAAAAACACAGTCATGTCGGGAATTGATTGCTCTCATACAATGATGGTTTTGCATTAAAGCCATAGTGACTTCTTAAGTATCCAACCACAGATACTCCTGCACAGGTTTATCCATGTAGAATTATCAGAAAGCCTTGTGTTTGAATCTGAATAATAATCGGGAACATTATCCCTGATAACATCATTGTTCTTCCCTGTTCTCTCACTTTCTTTGGGGTGTGTTTATGTCTACTTGTACTGATGTAAGGCTTACATTGTTATAATTAGCATGAGGCATTTTATTGATGGATTTGCCAAGTGAAACAAGAATTTAACTAACTACATTCATTAAAAGTGTCCGAAAATTTTCCAGAAGCTCCTTTATTGTCCTCTGTCTGTACAACAATATCATAACAATATACAATGAACCCTAATCACAAGTATTTATGCTCTAAGGCTTTGCCGAAACATAGGATTAGGATCAAATTGAGATCTTACTGGGTCCCACTGATAGAGGACTCGTGCAAGAAGATAATGGATGCTGCTCGGACAACAAACGCAAAGACCATGGGCCCAGTGCCACTGCCCACAAAGAAGAGGGTTTACTGTGTGTTGAAATCGCCACACGTGCATAAGGACGCGAGATTCCATTTCGAGATCAGAACACATCAAAGGCTTATAGACATTCTTTACCCGACTGCACAGACGATCGACTGCTTGATGCAGCTTGACTTGCCTGCCGGTGTTGATGTCGAGGTCAAGCTTTAGCTTTGTGAAACACTTGTGTTGTTATTGTAGACTAATGGAGGAAAGGAAAAACATTGCTGCTGTTATTTTGTTCTGAAAAATGTATGGATTGTCAGTAAATGTTGCTCTTGAACTAGCTTGTGATCTGATTTCTTATGTAAATTTATTTTCTTCATTTTTTTTTTCCTTTTTGGGGGGCAATCTGCAGAAAGTTTGGTCCCTCTTAAAATTTCCATATCTCAGCAATTCGAGAATATGTTTTTGCGAAGTTCCAGGTTCTGTCCCGGGCAATTCGATTAATTTAAAATAGTTCTAACAAATCATCGTTTAGAAAGAAACAATTGGAATTGGGCACATCAGGAAAATATTATCAGCTGCTGTGACTGAATTGCATATACAAAGATTTCATGGCTGTATTACAATGTGCCTTATTTTTGCTTCTTTTTATTCTTAAAATCAACTACTTGGGTACATTCCTAAAAGTGAATTCGTCCCCCCATGCTATCCACTTTTCCAAGGGATATTGAATAGTTGTTGACAGTCGATCTGTATACTTACCGGCAAACGATATACATGGGACTGTATAATCACGAAACCTTGATCTTGATTGATGTTTTGGGCTGGACAATAGGAATTGGGCTTAAAGACGCATCTATGCTACTTTCATTTTTTTTACAAGAACAAAGAATTTAAAATATTCCAATTCTATTTATAAAATATTCTTTTTCTATTTTAATCTACCATCATTTTCATATATAAGTCATTTTAGATCGTTTTCAATNACCATAATCAAATCATAGATAAACATCAAATTAACTCTCAAAATCATTCAAAACACAAATATCACATACTAAAAGACAAATTATTTAGAAATTAACAAGAACATAAATGACTTTCCCAATCCACCAGACGAAGGTCCCCTGGATATGCAGAAATTATTCTAAGGCATTAAGTACTGCAAAAGGAGCTCCATTTCCAGATTGCAAAACTGCATACAACATATGCCCCCATCATCAGTACAACCCCGAATGAACAACACTACCATCCCCAAAACCGAGGTACCAATTACTCGAGCTTCCTTACCAAATACCACAGCAACCTACGAGATATATGAAAAACTACAACAATAAATGACTCGACCCAGACGAACACCATCACCGGCAGATCTACATTAAAGGAGTGGGGTCACAGGCTCACAACAAAATTGAAAAAGATGCATATATACATTTAAAAAAAAAATATAGAAAAAAAATTATTTTTGTTGTTAATTATATGGTGCCCCCATTATGTAATCATTTGGATCCGCCATTGAACACCATGACTCAACCCTCATAGGATATGGTCATCTGCACGGTTTGCTTCTCGGGCCGATGGAATTCCATCATCATTTTTTCATATATTAAATTCAACAACTCATAGATCTAAAATCAATTAATGAAACCCCCCACAACAAAAAATTACTAAATGTATACACTGTTTCTGATCCACATAAGAAGCGACCGTTTAAAGTGTCCAACTTGTCCGTGACACCCTTTGGAAGAGAAGACGAAAGCATTTGATATGTCGAGATTGTTGACGAAAATTGAAATTTACTAAACCCTAAATCAGCATACCGCACCTCGAGGCGGAGGACGGTGCAAGCGGTGGGCGGTGCAGATGCCGGTGATATAAACTTTCCCTTGTTCAGTTCAGTCTTCGTCTGTTTGTCGTATAACTTTTTGCATAATGTATCGCACTTTATCAATTATGTTCGACTGTTTGTCGCATAGTTTATCGCATAACTAATTCATATTTTATCAATTATTTTTGATGTGTCGCATAGTTTATCGCATAATTGTTTCGCACTTTATCAATTATCTAAGTCTGACTATCGCATAGTTTATCGAGTAACTATTTCGCAGTTTATCAATTATAGTATAGTTTATCGCATAATAGTTTACACTATGTATAATTTATTTGGCACTTTGTGAGGTGAAATTTGGTGGTATTTAAAATTTATTTTGAAAAATTTTGAGATCGAAGTGAAAATAGTTATTTCCTCTAAATATTTTATAGTAAAACACGTAAGTTGAAAGCTTCTTGTCCCCATTATTTAACCAACATGTCAATAAACTATGTAATGACTAATGATTAACATAGATATTATGTGACGAATATTTATTTAATGGAATTAATAGGAGATAAATTATCAGATTTGATAAAAGTGATCTCTCATAATAAAAATGGTAGCAAAAGGGACATAGAGTGGTCCCAAAAATTCTGGCAAATGGAGAAGCAATTTCAACGACGCAGCGAGCTTCAGCTGAACGGTGGAGGTGCGCCACAAGAATCTTATTGGATTGTGGGTCCTATCCAAGATTATATTATCAATGTTTGTTTCATCCATATTATTTCGTATTTTAGTTCTAGCCATATTCTTTTTTTTTTTTTNTTTTTAAATCATATCAAGTATCCTAAGAGGGGTGTATTCAATTAGGATTTCTAAGTACTTTTCAAGACTTTAGAAATCCTGGTGTATTCAATTTAGATTTGTTAAGACTTTTAAAAATCCTGGAGTATTCAATTGGGATTTTAAAAAATCTTACAAAATCCTGATGTATTTAATTTCTTTGACACTAAGATTTTTTTAAGACTTTTTAAGATTTGGTAGGATTTCTAAACAAAAAACCTTATACAAAATCATACTTCAAATCCCACCTCCAAACTTAAGATTTCAGAGAATTTCTCCAAAATCTGGAAATTTTAAAAAATTTCAAATCTTAAAAAAGTTTTAAAATGTCACTTGAAATCTTAATTGAATACACCCTCCTAAGACTGTAAAGTAAACCTAACTTTCTTTGATAAGAAAATTTTGAATTGATAGCTTATGGTGAGGAGTTAGTTGTTATGAAAAAAGTGTTTGATAAAAGTAAGTGACAATTCAGTTAAAATAAAATTTTCAACGCGCTTATTTGAAAATCTATCCAATGAAGTTTATAAAATAAGTTCGAGTTTTTAAAAAAAGTTCATCTTACCAAACCAAACTTATTTGAATTCTGAAAACTTTTAAGCTAACCAATTAAACTATAAGTTAATTTATAGTGCTTATTAAACACACCTTAAATTGTGAGGTGTGTTGATATGGAATACCATACCAGTATAATCAGGTCAAGTTCAACCTATAACAGTTCAACTGGATCGAGTGTACCGATAAGCCAATTATACAACAATGACGTCAGAGGTCATGGAACACCAGGTCGACGGTCGACGGTGACTTCAGAAGCACAAAGGGGTGGACAAAACTGAATTTTCCTGTACCAAACCAGACCGAATTGGTCCCGTTCCGAAAAATAAAGTTTCGAAAGGTTATCTATATTTTTGCCCGGTTACTGGTACCGAACCGTTTTAAACAATATCAGTATTGATTTGATTATTTTTGTCCCTAGCCATCCTGCTTGTCCCGTTTTATTTTTCATACAAAGTACTATATATATATATATATATATATATATATTATACACTATTATTATATTTTATATTAGTATTATACATAATTAACATTATGCCATTTTGGCATTCAAACTTCAATAGCATCCTAACTTTGTAATATAAAAAACAAAAGCCGAAAGCCAAAACTAAACAATTTGGACAAAAAAAAAAGGACTAAACAATGCATTTGGTAATTTAGATTTAAAGACAATGTTTATGTTAGATCTTATGTGTCGGTGAGTGGTGACATAAACTTAATGGATCGGTATTCATATCTATATCTATATAATGGACTAATCTTATTGCCATAATTGGCATGATTTTGGGAGGAAAACTTTTTCGTCTATATTTGACATTTAGTTAATATTTATTTATTAGAAAATATTATACATGAAAACATAATTAATTTTTATACACTTAATGGCTGTTACTCATTAAATACAAATTGGCTTAAATTTAAATTTTGACCGTAGATTTTTTAGATATATTTTCTATAAGATCTTATATTATTTAATAGTAATTTATTGACACAATTCAAAAAATTGTTATGGAAATTGATTTGATTAAACATATTATCATCTATGGTTGTAGGTATTAATTTAATTTATTATAATCACTATTCAGAAGTACTTAAAATATTTAATAAAATAATCAGAATAACTATGTTTAAATTATACTAACTTAATAACTAATTTAAAATATTTATAAAAATTTCTGAAATGTAGTCAATTTAACTATAAAAAGGTACATCCCTATTGAATATATCATATCCAGTGATAATACCATTGAAAATTTAAATAATATACTAATAAAAATAAAATTTGATGGTCAGGTGCAATTCAGAATTATAAATGTCACCTTAGAAGTATCTATGTACATTAATATACTATTCAATTTTTAAAAAAATATATATTTTTCTTATATACCGTATTATATGTGAAAAATAAATTAATAAAATAGCAATGTATAATAATTTAAATTATAGCACTTGGTAGTTATGGAAGTATATAATATATCTAAATATTTGAATAGATACTATGTAACTCATTATATGGGTTGAAAAAATGAATTTAATAAATAAATAAAAATAAAAAATAAAAACATAAAAATAAAATATTTAACCATTAAAAATTTGTGTGTTGCATAAGGATTAAAGTTACTAAAAATTAAAATTTATCTATCAAAGTTTTTAACATTTAATGCACTTAATAGTTATAGCATAAGATAAATATTATGGGTTAAATGTTGATATCAAACAATGTGTAAATTATTATTATTATTTTTTTTCCAACGACATAATTTCATAAATAGAACAAATATTTACAAACGGATCACAACCGGTAACAGCCGGAATGAGCAGCTACACGCCTGTAATCCTTGGGAGGACAACCTCAAGGCAGCCTAATCGGATCACAAATACAAAACTAACACACAAAACACACTCACAGGCTCCCAACAGGAGAATTCAGCTCCCAATAGGAGAATTTAGCTCCCAACAGAAGAATTCAGCTCCCAACAGGAGAATAAACACGACACACAACGAACTAAACACCAAACAAAAACACACAAACCACTAAACACAACATAAACAAACGACAAAAAACCAAAATAAACGGCACATAAAGCCCTTCCCCGGCTGAAATACCCGAGCCTTGCACAAGGCACCGGCAGAACAAAGGCCAACCAACCCACAGCAAGATCCACAGTCAGGACTCCACTCCCGGAACTGCCAATAGGCCTAGCTGAAGCCGAATCCCGCACCCCGAACCACCACGAGATAGTAGCCGACCCACAGCCGGACAACTGAAGCCATACCTCACCCCACACACCTCAACCCCGGACCCAGCCAACACCACTGGACTAGGCCCGGACAATCCCGGACAACTCACCACCGATGACG